TGCATGCAAACAAATAGGGAGTTCAAAGATTTAGACCTATATTTCCTACCTACAATTTAAACTGACTAAAATTTTTTCAGCCAGTCCGCTCGATATCTGCTTTCAGGATCCCTTAGCTAATTCGCTTCTCGTTAACTCGAACCGGGCATCCTCATTTTCGTGCCGGCTAAACAATAAAAGGGGGGGCGAATTGGTGATGGGGTGTTTGTCGACTCACCCCAGGCTAGCCCCAGTGGAAGGAGCGGTTGGGAAACAAATGTCAGACGCAGAGGGGAAGACAGTACGCAGATCCGAGGCGGTCACAGAGGGCAGGAGACCGGAGACTAATAGGCGTGTGAAATCCAGTTGATCCACGCCACTGGCCTCCTCCTCAGGCCGGGTGGACTTCTGCTCCACGCGCACCGACTTGCCGCAGAAGAGGCGTCCAGACAGATTCACCTTCTCCTTGGCAGCAGTATCGGCGTCGGCGTATTCGCAAAATGCGTAGCTATTGGGTGGAGACGGCAAGTGGAAGAAAAAAATACTGGAGTCCTGATGGAATACAGTTAGCTTTCTGAAACGAACTCCTACGTCGTTGTGTACAAAACTTCCTTCCACCTATATCTCCTCCAAAAACACAACAAGCAACCTTAAAGGTCAATTATTCAGTATTTTAAGGCACTATTTTTCTGGTTATGCGAAAATAAAGTAGATGCGTGGAGGGAGTAGGCATAGGGACTAGGGAGAGCAATTATGGCGCTCACCAACCTAGGAACAGGACACACTCGTTCCGTTATGCCTTCCGGAGTACAATACCAGGCAGTCGCATAGCGACTGGTAAATTATGCAGGTATGTGGAGTACAGACAAAGATCAATGAGACCCGAATGGTCATTTCTGGACTATTAGCTGTCAGGTTACAAAACGTGCTGGATCCGCCCTGTGTCCTGCGGCTCAATGTAGACTACTCAAAAGCATTGACCAAGCGATTAGGGGGGAGTACCAGCAAGGAAGAAGGACATTTGAGCTCAGACACAAAGGAACAAGTGGGTCGCTTAATCTGATAGACGAACGAATTTTCCTCAAAACACGACTAAACTCAGTCGAAAGTAACTGAAACGCGGGTGAAAGTGTCACGTACCTCCGAATGGCGTTTGAGTGAGGCTTCAGGACAAAACGGCAGCATGTCATTTTGGGTGAGAGGCCTTTCAGCATGTCAAACGTGCAATTAGGTGGAATAGGGGAGACGTAGAGGCATCTGGAATCCAGTTCCTCTGGAAAATGTGATTGGGGTGGCGGCAAAGAAAAAATGGGAGATTTAAAGAGTTGTGACTGGTAAATTGATCCTGAAGAGCGATTGTAGGGGGAACATTACAACAGACAGATCGCAGCTCAGCATCATCAAACTTATACGTTCAGAGATAAGATGAACGAGGTATTTGATGAGTGAGTGAATTAACGCACTTGATTGATTAAAAAAGTTCTCAGAAGTTTAGTGGAGAGTAGACATACAGGTTAGTGGTGCCTGGGATCTTACCTCTCCCGAAAACTTTCTCAGTTGAACTTAAGGCTTATTACTGCGTTGGTTTGATGGAATCACTACGCTGGAGCCAAACCCACTCTCAAAAGACTTCCAGTGCATGTTCATCTAATCTGTCAAGGAAAAACGATACAAAACTGCCCC